CAGACTAACAACTACCTAGCTGCTTTGCACCACTACACAAGAGTAGTTTGGGAGTTGTAGTACAAGGATGGAATTCTTCTACCCTTTGCACCAAACCGAACAAATGCCTATGCAGCGCTAAAAGAGAGCTAAGGCCCACTCTTCTTACAACTGATGGGAGCTGTACCCAATTTTTTTAAGCCAAGATATCCAACCCTGAGAGGGAGGAGCAAGGTCAGGGTGGGGATGGAAACTGTGGCCCTCCAGATGGTGATGAGCCACCATGTCTACCATCCTCAACACCTAGGGTTGGCAGGAGCTGCCGTCCACCAGCATCTGGAGAGCCACGCTGTTCTCCAGGGGACAAAATAACCTGCGTCTTTGGCGTTCTTGCTGCTGCCTTGGAGGTCCACCTCGCTCGGGCCTGGGCCGGGCTACGGAAAGGTTTGCAGAAGGGAAGTTCATGCCTCTCAGGTTTTGCAACCTAAAACGAGTGCCCCGGGAGAAATCTAGGCCAGCCAGGCAGCATTCCCGTGGCAAGGGATCACACAAGGGCACACGGGTTGGGGACAGGGCTGTAACCACTAGGCGAGTGTGCCACCCATGCCCTCCCCTGCGGAACCAAGAGAGAGAGAGAAACCCTTCTCTCTCCACCCCCAATGGGGCAGGACTCAGCAGCTCTCAGTCTCTCCCCACCCCCACCCCCAATCCACCTGCTCTCGCCCAATCAACTCCAGTCGCCTAATGGGGAAAGCGTCCCCAGGAATGCCGCCGCCCGCCCGCGCGTCCTTCGAGCTGCCGGGATAACTCTTCCTCCCTCTTACCCCCCCACCCAAAAAAAAAAAAGCGGGAAGGGTGTGTTATCTTTACGGGACGTTCCACTCCTTTCATGCGAAGACTTTTAAACCTCCACGAGACAGGGAGATACCAAGCGGAGTAAGAGGAAGGGGGGAACCCCAACCCTGGCGCTTGCCTAATTTTAGGAGGAAATAAGGGTCCCCCCCCCGCACGGTGAAAAAGAGGCGCGTCCCACCAGGGCCTCCGCCCTCCCTCCGCCCGGAGACGAGAGCTGATGCTGGCAGGGCCCCCTATGAATGTAAGAGAAAAGAAAGGCAGGAAAACTTCCTACCTGTCACCGCGAAACGTCCACCATCTTGTGTGAGCCTTCGAAAGGGGGCGTGGCTCCTGCGATGACGCCAAGAGTGGGCGGAGACTCCCCTTCGAAGGGGGGCGAGAGAAAGGGAGCTTAACTCTTTCTTTCCCGAGCAGCGGGAAGGATTGTGGGTTGCGTGCGCCCCACTCTATAGGTTTGGGCGGGTTAGGGGTAAAAGGAGGGGAGTTGGCGTGGGGATCCCATGGGCGGCTGGAGTGCAAACCCATATGATAATATCTCTGCACCCGAGCTTGGAAAAAGTTACTTTTTTTTTGAACGCCGGTTCCCTGAGTCTTTCAGGCAGTAATATCCGAGAGACATGCTGGCTGAAGGACTGTGGGCTTTTTAGTCTTAAAAAGTAGCTTTTCCAACCTTCGATCTAATGGAATGAATGATTTTCTGTGGGAGCTTCCTTTCTAGAGTCCGCATACAGATGGAGGGAGCCAGAGCGTTACAGCCGTCAGATACGATACACTACATATCCCATGTTCCTTCAAGGCGCTCAGAGCACTGTTGTAGCCTCGGAACAGCAACTCTGTTGAGACAGACCTGTGTCTCATAAACAGCGGCGGAAATAGCCAGCCCATGTCTGAATTTCTTATTTTCACATATTTATTTTTTATTTTATTTATTCCATTTATACCCCGCCTATCTGGTCATTGCGACCACTCTAGGCAGATTACAACACAAAATACAGGAACAATATTAAAAAAGGAATTTTTATACAATTAAAGAATTCTGTAAGATGGAAAGCAAACAAAAAAAATCATAATAGAGAAAGTAAGAGAGAAAGTTGAACGTACACCCATAACTTCCTGGCCCAACGTTTAGTCCCCCCCACACAGAAAACTAAAGACCAAGGAGAAGGGTTCTGGCATGGCCTTCTCCCTGGTGGTCTAGTTTTCTGTAAGGAGAAACTGCCTCAAAAACCAGTATGTGCAGTGGTCAGAGCACTGGACTGAGAGCTGGAAGATGCCAGTTCAAGTCCCCACTGAGCTGTGAAACTCACAGGTCGCCTTCAGTCAGTCACTCTCTCTTGAGCCGCCCTACCTTACAGGGTTGTTGTGGGAGGATTCAGGCCATGTACATCGCATTGAACTCATTGCAGGAAAGGAAGGCTATAAATGTAACAAACCCCATCTTCCTTTTACATCTTCTTTCAAGAAACAGGGCAACATAGCATCATCTGAAGAGCAAAATGATTACTTGCTCTTGATGAGACAATGAGGGACAGACAACTGCAGCCACCTAAATGCTTCTGGACTGCAACCCCCATCACCCCACACTGTTGACAATACTGGCTACTGGGAATTGCAAACTGCAAATATCTAGAAGGCTCACAACATCTAAAAGGCTAATCCTTGTTCAAGGCTGTAAAGGTATCTGAAATTGGGTTTACTTCTTACATTTAAAACCAACATGCGCTCCTGGCAAGTTGGGGAAGAAATAAATAAATGCCAGACATTCCCTAACGGTTAACCCATCCTAGTATCCCATACACAGGCTATATAAGGTCTCCTGCTATCCAAGGTGCAAGGAGAAGTCCTGCCACTGCCCTTCCCCAGCTGGCCACACATGTCACAAACACTATTCAGGAATACAGTATTTAAAGGGGGAAGAAGCAGAACCAAGAAGAGGGTTGTGGCACTAACAGCAATGTGGGTATCTGTTGTTTTGAATTGCCACTAGCTGCTTCGTCGCCTTTACAATGTAGGCAACTATTTGCCAAAGGGTTGGTCTTTGAGGCAAAGGCATTGTTAGTCGACAATGCCTTAGACTCAGAAGGTGACTACACAGACACTTAGCCTGCTGTTTGGTCCGCTGCTGGGACTGGCTAGTTCACTTTTTTGCCAGTGGTCAGATAAGATATTTGCTAGAGTGAACTAGCCTATCTCCAGAGTGATCCTACCTGCACCTTTCTGAGTCCCTGTCAGGTCTACTCTTTTTAAGGTATGGGTAGGATTGCTCTGTTTTGATTCATTTCTAGCACTGCAGTTGCTAAGCTCAAACCCAAGTGACCTTCCTATTTTAATTTGTTGGCTGGTTTCAATTTCCCCATATCATTGGTGGCTTAAACAGACAACTTTAACCATTTAATGATATCAGGAAATCAGAAAATCAAAAACTTGCTTCTTTTGCTCCTCTATGGAGCAGAGGGAGGAAGCAATGTTTTAAAAAGCAGCCAATTAGGGCAGTGTTGGTGCACTGTACCTCTTAAAGGATTTTTTAATGAAATATTCCTCCTGGGAGTGGGAGAAGACAGGATGGGCAAAGGGGGGGGTCATGGCTGGAAGATCCAGGAAGAAGCTGGAGCAGCGACTGAGAAGGGAAGGAGAAAAACCTAAAGTTTTGGCTGCCTGGGACTCATGGGATTAAAAACAGGCAGCAGGAGGGCTGCAGTGAGACAGATACTGGCCATGCAGTCTCTCTGTTTTTCAGGATTGGGACCAGAGAGTCTAACAGCCTCTGGTACATGATTTCTTTTCAAAGGAGGTGGACCACATACGGTTGCTTGCGGTTCATATGCCACTTGGAGGCAAAGATCATATATTACATGACATATTGTACTGGATCTCTACCTGACCTTAAGTGACCCTGTTTAGCCCATACTGGGCTACCAGCTCATGTAGCCAAGCTCTCGGTGACTCAGGCTGTGGGGAAGAGTCAGCCACTCTTCAAAGATGACCAGGCAGCTGTCAATGGTACAAAACAATATGTCATAGCCTTCTCTGCCACAGCCTGCTGCTGCCACCACCACCATCTTCTCCCTCCCTCCCCTGTAAATGTGTTTCTGTGGCAGCAGTGGTGAGGACCATGGCAGCAATAAGAGCTGCCACCACTCCTGGCAATAGCCCACTCCTTGAGGGGACCAACTAATACCAGCTAATGGCCAGGCAAGTTCTCAGAGTATTTGAAAGGGAATCTGTTTCCTGCCAGCATACACTGGCAGCAGAGCAAACAGCTCCGGGTCACCTGATTTACCTCCCTGAAGGGTTGAGAAAGAATTGGAAAAGATATCCTATCAGTTACTGTACAAGAGAGTTGCTGGGCACAAATGCATCGCTGGCTAAGAAAAATAAACCACAGTGAGTTTCAGTTCCAACACCTTGGCTAAAATGATTGCCTTGCCCAGACGTTACAGAATGGCCTGTTCCAGCAAGGCCATGCATGGGCCATCTAACCCGGCGGGTTCTGACTTGATGGTACATAACATAGCATTCAGAGAACATTCAGCATAACGTAGAGCTGTTAGGCTGGCTGGTCCTGATCCTGCAAAATGAGGAGACTGTGCAGCCAGTCTCTGTCTCAGTCAGTACTTGACACCCTTCAGTAAAGGGTGCTGCTTATTAAATGTCACAGCTGTGTAAAAAAACTCTATATTTTTGTTTTCTTATTGTTGCACACTTTGAAATTTTCATATCTAAACAGCATAAACATGTTTATAAAATAGGCTGGACAGCTTGGTGGGTTAGGTAGAGGTTGGGAGTTTGATTCCCCACTGGGGCCTCCTTGACAGGGGCTGGAATCGATGATCCATAGGGTCCCTTCTAGCTGTGCAGTTCTAAGATAATGGTTATTTTGGTACAGTACTTGGCTGAAGTTAGTTCAATTCCCCACTATGAGAAGCGCCGGCCTGAGTAGCTTTGAGCAAGCTGCACAGTTCCAGGATGCCCCCAGAAGAAGGGAATGGTAAAACCACTTCTGAATACTCTGTGCCTAGAAAGTCCTGAAAAGGGTCACCTTAAGTGAGAATTGGACTGCACAGGATGATGAACAACAAGAAGAACCAATAACTGGACTAAGACACCAGATACAGAGGGCAGAATAGCATGTTACATGGAGATCTGTATAACAAAACACTACCTACCACATATATAACAGGACAAAGTCACTTTTGAAAGAGGTCATTTGAAGCCAAAAAAAAATAGCCTGTGAGATAGTGTGTTGAACCTCCTCCTTTATCATCTGGTGTTTAATGGTGAAATAGGACCAAAAGCTCTGAAGACCACTTGTAATCAAACAAAAGATATGCAGGGAAAAGGAAAAGAGAGAAAAATACTGTAATAAGAAGGGATTAATTATGCACACTTAACCTTTGCTTTGCTTCCTTCCCCAGCTGCTCTCCCTTTCCTTTTAGCCTATACCCTGCAGCTGAGAAAGAAACTTGCAAACGAGGTATCAATTAAGCAGACATGCGTCCCCATCACAAGTCACCCTCCTTAAAAGATATATTGCCCAGATCCAAGGCTGGGCAATCAAATCTGGGCTGCAGTTCTTAATCAGCCTTAATCAGCATAGCCAGTGTTGGGGGATGATGGGTCTTGGACAGGCCACATATTGCCCACTGAATTATCTTGAATGAAAGCAGCTTTGTTCTGTCACACGGTTTAAGCAATGTGCAGTTATGTCCTGGCTAGCCATGAAGAATGTGGGAACCATTAGCTCTGATCCTAGAAAACTTTACATAGAAGCACAAGCTCTGTCCAGATTAAGTGCATTTACTTAGTGCTCTATAAATCTCAGAGTCAAATGTTGGTCAACCTACATAGGATGCCATCTCCACTGTGTGCTAGTTTCAGGTGGACCAAAGATCTCCAGCAAAACGCAAGGAGCAAGCATGTCCAGACAAAATCATGATTGAGCCTGAAACAGAATTTTTATGTCACAAGAAAAGCGGAGGCCACCAGGCAATGAACTCCATAACAAAGGCCAGAAAAGACTGCATTAGTTTAGACCAGTGGTTCCCAACCTTGAGTCCCCATATATTCTTGGACTAAAACTCCCAGAAGCCTTCACCACTAGTTGTGCTGGCCAGGATTTCAGGGAGTTGTAGTCCAAGAACATGTGGGGACACAACATCGAGAACCTCTTGTCCAGAGGATTATAGTGGCAGATCTGACAGTACCGTGATGTAAACTAACTCACAGGAGGGTCACGCCAAATAAAGAATTACTGTTTAACAAAGGGAAGGTCCACATCACCACTGATATTATGAGTTGGAAGAAAAGAGTTAATTAGAAAAGTTGCTAGTAGGACAGGGAATGGATCACTCAGAAAGTCCAGTTACAAATTCTAGTAAGGAAGCCTGAGGATGTGACTCTTGCTTAATGTTCAAATCAGAAACTTCAATTTTTTTTAAAGTGCGATGACTGCTCACTTGATCTTGGTTGAAAGGAGATGCCACGATCCTGCAGTGCTCCTGCCACTAGCTGGTAGGATCCCATATGATAACCATCAATAAAGTATCATTGATGCTCTGGCCCTGCCCTCCATTCACATCCCACCAGAAGCTGTACTCAATTTTCAGCTGCACTCAGCTGTGCCTTTTTGATTCCTCCTTGGCTTCCAGGAGGCATAAAAGGTCCTTCGGGACTCCTTTCTTTCTTCAAGCAGTGAAACCTTGGTCACTGGGCTACCTTTTTAGTGGTGATTCCCTCTGGTGGGGTGAGTACTTTTCCTTTCTGTCTGAATCTTTTTGAACCACAAAGGACTCTGTTTTATGCAGGTATGAGAAGCATCTCCTGATAAATAATATATTTTTGTTTGTGCAGGCATTTCTTTCTTAGTTGTGTGGGGAGAAAGTTGGCAGGTGAGTAATATAAGTAAAGTGATGCATGTGAGAGCTTCTTTCTTTGCAATGCATACTTTAGGCGTAGCCTATCTGAGGGAATCTGGAAGCGAGAGCTGAAACAAGTTTCTCCATGTTTCTCATATCTATGAAACTTCATCGCTGTGGTGGAAACACCTGCCTCCTTTTCCCCAAAAGAATCAAGTTACCCTGTTGTTAGTTGACCTCTTTGGCTGAACTCAAAGGATTTAGAGTTATTCTTTTTTTTTCCTTGTTATTCTTCTAGACCTGTGGTTCTCTTGCATTTCCATGAACCTGGCTACTCTCGCAGTGTCCACCCACATGTTCTTTTGGGCAGAGTTTTTGAAGAATTACATTTCTGATGTACTCTTCCCAGAAATTCCCAAGTGGCATGGCTAGTGCTGTGGTTCTCAATGTTGGGGCCCTGGAAGGTTCTTGGTCTAAAACTCCCAGAAGTCTTCCCCACTAGCTGTCCTGGCCAGGATTTCTGGGAGTTGTTGTCCAAGAATATGTGGAGACCCAAGGTTGGGAGCTATTGGGCTAGTGGCTGTGCTAGTTGTTGGTGGGGGGAATATGGGATTAGTAGTCCAAGCAAAATTACTATTTGAAGCTCTACCCTGAAGTTGCTTTTTTTCCCATCCAAACTCTTGGCTTATTTATTTGCGATGTTGTCAGAGAAGACATTTCTTATGGGTTCACCTTGCCTTGTTCATGGAATGTAGTAGGGATCCAGCTAAAATCATTTTCTATTTGTAACCAAACTCTTGTTTCCTTACCCCTTTCCCCTTGTTTATAATTTTAAAAAGCCAGTGTGGAATTAAAAAAAAAACACCAGAATCATCTATGTATACAGTACTCTTCAAGCACTCCAAGAGCTCAGATGCACCATTTCACATTGTGATTCTCCTTTTGTCATTTGGAAAAAGAAGTTAAAATGTAATGTAAAGAATGGCATGTAAAAAAATCTTATGGTATTTGTAAAATGCATGGCACTAAAATTTTATTTAGCTTTATAATTACACTGTAGGTTGAGGTGAAAGAGGATAATGAAGACACAAGGTGGTGAAAAGAGGCTTAACTTGAGAGTTCTGATATTCTGGAGGAGCACTTAAAAACCCCATAAAACTATTTCACACTGCAGTATTACTCTGCAACCAGTTAAAACTCTTACCAGAACAACCCGTCTTAAATGCCAAAGGCCTATCAGATTGCAAGGATGTTCAGTCTAGCTTCCCTTAGGAGGTAGTTTTAGAGCTGGGAATGGGCACCAGAAACTATGATGGTCTACAGCAGTGGTTCTTAACCTTGGGTAACCCAGGTGTACTTGGACTGCAATTCCCAGAAGCCTTCTCCACCAGCTATGCTGGTTGGGGCTTCTGGGAATTGTAGTCCAAGAACACCTGGGTTACCCAAGGCTAAGAACCACAGGTCTACAGAAACCAGAGTTCACCAAAAACAGTAGTTTCAGGTCATGGCTACCTACCATGACTGGTGGCTTTCTGGGATGCTGGGCACCGACCTTATCCTCACATCAGCTCCTGAGTCCTTCAACCATAGCCTAAATCTAGAATGACCTGCTGCATGCAAAGCGTGTGCTCTGGCCTTGACCTTGACCAAGGTATCCTCAGTGGGCCAGTTTAAGAGCTGAGATAGGCAAACATGCATATATCCTCTCATGCTGTGCCTCTCTTCTTCGTTGCTTCATGCAATGTTTCAGAATGGGACTGGGGGGGGGTCCACCAGTGCTCCTGAAGCCCTCACAAATAAAATTGTGGGTAGCTTGTCCTCTACACTGGATAGGGCTGTGACTTACCTCACCTGTGCCCTTTTTACCCTAAGGCTTTGAATAATCTAATGACATTTTTTTCCCTTTCCTAGCTTGCAGGTACCCAGCAGTGAAGCCTACAGGAGGTTTTAAAATGGTAAGCACAAGCCTATTTGCCTCTGAGGAGGATGAAGGGGCTTTGCTCATCAGTGAAGATGAAGTGCACCATGTTTTTAATGGTACAGTCGATGTACCTTTTTTTTGTTTCGTCTGGAAAGTAGCTTCTAGAAGGGAGGAGGGAAAGTGGGATCAGTAAGAGGAGCACAGACATGGCAAGGACTGTCCTTGCCTGGTCTGCTGCTTCCCCACCTCGAATGGTCCCCTCAGACATGGTGTTTGGAACTATATATGTGTGTGTTCTGGAACAGGGAACGGGCAGATGCTTTGGGGGGGGAGAGAGAAAGAGGGACCTCCTGTTCCTTAAACTGGAAAAAAGAGGGCATCAAAGAGCAGTCAAGGGAAAGGACTGGTGAAGGTGCACACCTGTCCACAGCATATTATTGTTCCTGAATATTGGCTGTTTCTAAGTTCCAGTTATCTCAGCAAGGGGACCGTGAGTAGGGAAGAGAATACACTGGACTGTGGCTTGGTTCAGCATCAATGTGGTGGCCACCTGGTCTTAGTTGTGCCACCTCTCATTTTGTTCCTTAAATGCAGTGGGTTCTCAAATTTGGGTCCCCAGATCTTCTTAGACTACAACTCCTAGAAATCCTGGCCAGCACAGTTGGTGGTGAAGGATTCTGAGAGTTTTAATCCAAGAACATCTCAGGGGCCTAAGGCTAGGAATCCCTGGTTTAATGGTTTTCTTTCATAAGTGCAGTGATACTCACACAACTTCAAAGTGCTACAAAGCTTTCTTTTCCTCTTGAGAGATCAAGGGCTTGGCTAGACGGTCAAAGTGGAACAGGCAGGATCGGGCTACGTAGGGTCCCTTAAGGTCAGACAGAGATGAGTAGTGCAATCCTTGCATCTCCATGCAAGGATTAGGTGTGTTGGGGTCAGGAAACCCCACTGGACCTCAAGCAACCCCATTTAGCACAAGCAAGACCTTTCACTTTAAAAGAACATATTGTTTCCTTTTAAAGGGAAAGATTTCTTGGGATCATTAAGGCTGTCCCTTTGGAGAAGCTGCTTAATTGGAAACCACCTCTGGGCTCTCCTTTGGAGGACAGGGCTTGGCTAGTGGTTCTCAGCCTTGAATAACCCAGGTGTTCTTGGACTCTCCTCTGGGCTCTCCTTTGGAGGATAGGGCTTGGCTAGTGGTTCTCAGCCTTGGACTGCAACTCCCAGAAGCCTTCTCTATGAGCTGTGTTGAGCAGAGTTTCTGGGAGTTGCAGTCCAAGAAACTGACCAGGGTTGTTGGGAGTTGCAGTCCAAGAACACCTGGGTTGCCCAAGGTTGAGAACAGCTGTGCTGACTTTTTTCCCTATTTCTTTTTAATAGTCGCTAAGTATCAATACTTTGAAAGGGTTCTTAACTGGGCTGATTTTTTCCCCCCCTATTTCTTAGTTGCTAAGTATCAATACTTTGAAAGGGTTCTTTAAAGTGCTGTCAAAGCATTGCTGATTCTCTTGCAACCATTAAAAAGAAATGACAAGGTTTGTCTCAATTCCCCTCCATAGGCAAGGAAGATTTTAAAGGGAAAGCTTCCCATTTCTCAGTTGAAGATCGACAGCACTTTTAAAAAAAACTGGTTAAAGTATAATTGACACCGTAGCAACAATTAAAAGAGATGAAAAAGTCAGCCGAGCTCTCCAAAGGAAGCTTCCAATTAAGCATCTTCTCAAAAGGCACAGCCAGAGAGCTGCTTCAGTGTAATCACAGTGTTGATGATCACACATGCTGGAATTGAACCAAAATAGTGTGATCCTACCGGCACCTACACAAGAGTAGCTCCTAGCAGGGACCCAGCAAGCTATGAGTAGGAATGCTCTGGGGACAGCCTAGTTTGCTCTAGCAATTATGTTGTTTGCCACCAAAAGTTGCAGACCAGCCTGACCCCAGAGTGGACCAAGTAGAGCAGTAGTCCCCAACCTTGGGCCTCCAGATGTTCTTGGACTTCAACTCCCAGAAATCCTGGGCAGCAGAGGAGGTGGTGAAGGCTTCTGGGAGTTGTAGTCTAAGAACATCTGGAGGCCCAAGATTGGGGACCACTGAAGTAGGGGGACAAATTCCTATGCAGTCACCCCCTCAATGTATAGGTGATTGGCACTGGGATGTTAGGACTGCCATCCTGAGCATGCATACCTGAAAGCTAGTCCTGTTGTACATGGGTGAGACTTGTTTGCTTTATACAACGTACTGTATGTGGGATCAAAATGGCTGATGTTTGTGGAAGGTTTCTGTAACTTGCCACGGCCAATTGCAACTCATTGGGGAGGAGTTATGGTCTGTCTTGGTTGTGCAGTTGGGCAATCATTCAGGCAGATAAGCATGATGCACCCAGCACTTCATCAATTCATTGCAGCAGGTTTCCTCGTGTAAACCCAAAAAAGGATTCTGGCTGTTGTATGTCAATAATGTTTCTTGATAGCAATAGTATGGAAAATTATATGGAAAATGTGCAGAATGCTTTTCTGAGGCTCAACAGGTTTTGGTAGTGATTCAAATGCTAGAGAAAATTGTGCAAACCATAGATAGGGAAATGGTGGATATGACCAAAAATATGAATCCAGAAGCTCACACTGAATTCCTGTTTCAGCTCAAGAAATGTTCCAAAGGCCTGGGCGATCTTGAAGCATACACAGATGTGGAGGAAGGGGTGGCTTTCCAGATGGACAACAATTTATTCTGGGACTCGCTGGGGAGTTGCTTCCAACTGGCCATTGAGGGCATGTGCGAAAAGACCTTTTCCTGCAAATTCTGGGTCACCTCTTTGCCTTCAGGAAGAGTTTTGATAAAAGACTGGCTGGGCATGTACCTTGCTCCAGTAGAAGAAGGTACTGATGTGAAAACCTACCCTGTCCAACCTGTTCAGTACACGGAAGATAGATCCCTGCAGTTTGACGTCTTTCACCGTGACAACCGAGTTGCTTTCCAGGCCTATAATCGTCGCTTCCTGGCCAGAGTCCAAAGGGGTGAATTCCAGATATTGGAAGCAGCCAAGTTTTTAATTGACAGCACCTGTTACTTCCGGCCCCAGATTGGGGACATCTGTCTCCCTACTTTTGAAATAAAAAATGTGGTTCCTAAGGAACTCTGGCGAGTGAAGTGCCGCCCTACTCTTGTGGACAGGATGAGCTACACCAACCGGGGTGAGACACCAATTCAACAAACCTTCATTATGGATTGGAACATCCAGTGCACCGACAAAGTTTTCTGGAATCATCTCTGGGGGCTGGGTTTGCCCTCGGTTTCCTCTCCTTTTGTTGTTGAGAATGCCAAGCTCACTGTGAAGTACCTGGAGGACAACCAGCGCATTGTTTCCGTGACGAGGAACATTTCTGAGACCGTATCGCACACCTTGATGGTGCCCCCCAGGACGAAAGCCATTGCCTACCTTTATGCCCGCCAGCAAAGTAATGCTTCTCTGCCATTCACAGCCGTCATCCGCAAGGTGACGCCTCGTGGAAAGGAGGTGATCTTGCTAGAAAATGGTGCCTGGACGGGGCTTGTCTATCGTGACCTCTGGATATACTGTTCACTAAAAAGACTGGATGAACTTTGTCCGGGGATAGGATTTCATGGGAACTGGAGTTTTGCCAAGGAGATTCATGGACCTGACCGTGAATTGCCCAGTTCTGAAGAAAAGTGATTTCCTGGATTCTCCACCATCTTGGTCTGATCCCTTTTGGGACTGTGTTGCTTTTAGGAGTAGTTCAGAAAATGGCTTCCCCCAGAAGCTACTCTAGCAATTTGTTTTTAAATTCTCAGGTGCCTGAAAAATATATATATGACGGCTACCTTTTTATGTGGAAGAGGCAGAAGAATTTGCACTTGGCAGCACTGCAGAGAAAGTAAATAAAATGGTGAAGCCGTTTTTAAAAAAAATTAATTTTCTTTTTCTGTGTCTTGTGATCACTATGAGAAAAGGGTGCCTTTTTAGGATTGAAAAAAAAGAGACTTATTCTAATTATGTACCACCTCATTAGTGCACGCAATACTGTGAGTAGTTTACACAAAATTTAAAACTGACAACCCTCCATAACTCATAACAAAAATACACATTCAAGCTCAATATAGTGATACAACAGACAGTAATTATGGCCATGCATATGAATAATCCTCTAAAAATTTAGAATTTAAGAAAAGGAGGGGTTATTAATTAACTTTGACGGCATCCTAGAGATTTGATTAAGGGTAGCTTAAATAAGCCAGTCTTTCAAATTTTCTGAAAATTGTGGTGGACTGAAGATTCTACAACAGTTGTTTTGATAACTTGAGATTAAATAGCCTTTGCCCCATATTTATTGAGAGTCTCATTGCAACGCTTATACTCTGGTGAACTTAACACAAACTTTATGGTTAAATCTTCCCTATTATATTGATCAATTTTTCCCTTGGCCCACTTAACTACCAAGCAGCTATAAGATGTAGAAGAACTGTATGTTTTGAGGTCTTTCCTGGGAGAGTGATGGAAGGGTTTGAACTCAGTCTTGGAGAAATCTGGGTCCAAACCCTCCACCACCTTACAAAGTTGTTATGAGGACAGAAGGGAGAGGAGGAGAGCTCAAACTCACAAGAGGAATGGTGGAATATTTAATAATATAATACATTTTTTTAAAATACTAAATATTTAACTCCCCTGTGTGACAAACCCAGACCTACTGGAGGATGCCACAGTTTCACTAAGCTGCCACCAACCATTCCCTATAAGGAGTCACACAGACCAGGAATGGATTTTTAACAAATAAAGGAATAAGGTTTATTGAAATAACACACAGGGAAAATAAAAATGATCAAGTGGATAAGATACAGTAACGTGGCTTAGTCTCAATCATACATACACTAGTTTGGTTCACACAGAACGCATTTAACTAAAGCACAGACCCTGAACCTATCAGTTCTGGCTAACCCTACAGACACCTGAACCTATCAGGTTGGTACTGACTGACACACAGTAGTACCCTGTCTGACACACAGACTCCCACTCAAGCTTCTCTCAGCTCTTCTCCTCCAGCTCTACACACACTCCACATATATATACAGTATATGTCCCGCCTTCCACTCCCCATAGGATGGAACTTTCCCTCCAAACCCATGACAGACAGGTAACATCAGTGCTGTATGTAACACCCTGCTTCCAAGTTTCAGAGACTACTGCTCCCTTTTCTAATTTTGTGAGAAATACACAGGATAGGTTCTCTGTGCAGACAGGTCAGTGGGAATTGGATATGAGTATATTTGTGGTTTTGGACTACAACTTCCAGAATTCCCCTGGCAGCTCTACTGCCTAGGGAATTCTGAGAACGGTAGTCCAAAAGCACAAATCTCAATACTGCAGACTCTCCTTGCACTCAGGTGCAGGCAGATAGTTTGCTTTCCACTGAAATATATGTAAGAGTTGAAAGTGGAGCAGAGCACTAGACAGAGCACCAGGACACTAGACTTTAGAAGATAGCTAGAGGTGAATCTGCTGATGACTGTTAGGAAAATAAATAGTGACACTTTGTGATCACTTTTCTGGTCTCTTGGAAAGCATAAACTTTTTCTTTTTTGATGGGCATTGACGTTCTGTTTTCTTGAGGTGGGCTCAAACTCTATGCGTCAAGGTGCAATGGGCGGGAAATGCTGCCTAAGGCCCTGGCTACCAAACTTACTGATGACAGTTGTGTGTATGTGTGCCTGTTGGTTGAGGCTCTTGGAGATTTCCTTCACAGTTTTCCATGTCCCACCCCGTACTTTTCTTTGCCCATCTCATGAATCAGTCATCTACTACCAATGCAGTTTTCATCAAGCAAGAGAGGGAGGGAGGGGCTTAGTAGGATTATCTTCTTAAATATACTTTTCTGTGCACCCCATGGAGATGCCAATCCTGTTGATATTGCTTTCTTGTTTTTGACCTGTAGTTTAGAATAAATAACACTCCACAATCACAACCTAAAGATCAGTGACAGAGGAAAACAGTAATACTAGCTTCTCATGTGCTTGACCCTGTTGCATGCAACTCTGGCCCAGGAACGGCAGAACAGGTGTAGCACTTCAGGCTACAGGTCATAAAAACATCTTGGAATGCTGCCCTACAAGAAGGAGCATAGAGTATCTTTAAAAGGACTTGTCCTAGGCTTGCCCTTTCTCTGTTGCATTACTGCCACCAGCTGGACAGAATGCCAGACCCTCCACTCTTACAGTGGCATAAGAAGGAAGGCATTTGCCTGATCAGGCAGAACATCTGTGTAGACACAAGGAATCAGGGCAGCACATCTGGGGAAAATGAGATCAAGCCTATGGCTGAACATGTGTGAGATACAAAATTAGTCATGATACTGTTTTCTAGGTCAGCAAACAGATGAGAAGAGATCGGGGCAGCTTTGGAATATGTGTATATCAATGGTTGGAAGCTTTTGAACCTTCAATCTTGTGAATAATATCTCCTAGTCTGTTCTGACAGGTTGGCCAGAGCTTTTTGGAACACGAACATGGAGGGTGGGGGCAGAGAAAAGGTTGAAAATCACTGAATGGTCACGCTGAGACATCCCTCACTAGTGATACGCGCTACCTGAATGGACTTTCTTTCCAGATGGGGACATACTCTCTGTCACATGCAGGGCATGTATCCCTGACTGGAACTAAAAGGGAGAAACTGAAGAGCTCCTGTTGGTGGGATGGAATCACGAGATTACTTGTACCAGAATTCACTAGCTAGTCCTTTAAGCAATAAATAAGGAATAACTTTTATTTGATCTAATTAAAAATAATGAATTAAGTGTTTGCTTCCTCCTGGAGCAGATCCAGGCACACCACACTGCAGATCACCTGCACCAAAGGATATCTACCTCTGTTTGTCATCTCAAAAATAGCAGAGCTCCCTCCTGTCATGGACTTCCCAGCTAGAGCTGTAGGCCTTCTTCACACTCAGTCAGCTGTGCCCCCTTGCCTTTGACCTGTGGAAGGCATAAAAATTCAGTGAGGAGCAGCCTCTACTCTTCCTCCTCTTTCCTTCTGATAGAGGGACAGCGATTCAGCCACAGAGCTGATACCTGTGTTGGAGTGCTGAGGCTGAGTATCTTTTAAAAGAATTGTTTCTTTAAAGTATCAGATAACTTTTATGGTGCTTAATCCTTGGTGGTTGTAAATATTTGGCTACCTTCTTCTGAAGGATATATTCTGCTTTGCCGGTTTGACCCTTGCTTAGATTTTGCTTACTTTATACATCTCCTAAATGCCTCTAGATGCAATTTATTCCCAGCTAATCTACAGCATAATCCTAGGTGTGTTTGTTCAAAGAAGCAAATGCTGTTATGTTTGGTCTTTACAAACTGAACTAAGGATTTATACCCTTAATTTAGGTTAGATTAGACATCCTTAGTCTCAAGAGACTATGGTAACATGCTCTGAATAGAGGACTTGGAACAGCATCTGGTGTGGCTGGGAAGGCCAATTCGAGAGTGACAACCCCTTCCACATTGAAGACAAATACAATTTGTCCCCTGCCCAGCTCCCTGATTTTGCTGCTCTCGGGACTGCCTCTTTGCCTCAGCCTGCTGGACAAGGGTCCCTTCAAATTGGGAGAGGCCATGCTGCACCGCCTGCTTCCAGGCTGAACACTCAGATGTCAAGGTTTCCCATCTGTTGAGGTCCATTCCTAAG